GGGTGCGTTTCGCTGGTTTTCAATTCCCTGACTGTTCCTGCTGGAACCGCAGCTCGGGACAGTGGCCGAGGAGAATGAAATCACCCACTTTCCAGCACCCAAGACAACAAGTTTCTCATGCAAACCAAGCCGCTTCTCCTCCGATTCAGCCCAGGGGCCTCTGCCTGCCGTGAGCACCCCAAACTTTGCTCCACAGACCCCATCCCTCCCAGGAGCTCCTCTCTCCACCCAGCCCCGCGGCTGTCAAAGCGCCCAGACACCTCGACCCACTTGCTCGTGAGCAAACGAACGGGGATTGACCTAAATTGACCATTGCAAGGCGTGAGGACGGGAGTGGTTGGGACGGGAGCGCACCGAGGGGTGTGAGGTCACAGTGGCCAGTTCATGGACCATTTCAGTGAATCCAGCCACCTCTGACCTCAATTTAAACCACCTCCCTCCTAAACACCCCCCTTTCTCTTCCTTTCTAATCGCTTTGAGTATTTTAAGAGAAGGCAGAGGTGTTTCTAGTCACCCTGTGCCAAGGCCCCAGGCGGCTGGTCACGGGAGGCTGGCCCTTTGAAGCCTCTCTCGCCGCTAAACCACAGGAAACGAAACTCAGTCCCCGTAAACAGCTTCAGGCCAGGAAGAGGTGGCTGTCTGGAGACATTTTAGTAGTTCTTTCCCTGAGAGTTGGGTGTGAGGAGGAAGAAAAACTTTTCTTTTAAAACCGGGGATGTGGGGAACACATTTTTTTAAAAATCACAGCGCCGGGCCAGGAAGCGTTCTACGCTAGGAAGCGTTCCGCGAGCGCGCCCTGCTGTCCCCATGGCACAGATGGGGAAACCGAGTCTGCAAACACGTATTCTCACGTCTCTCCTCAGTTGGGTACCTGAGCCACTCAATGCCACCTGCCAGGTAAAGTGAGGGAAGGAGCCCTCCGGCAGGCGCCGGTACAGAGACACGTCCATCCCCCACGCCCCCACCCCGAGGCCTTGGAGCAATGACCAGCCAGCCCCACCCAAGCGGCCAGCAGACTCCCACCACCACAGCCCCTCCGGCCATTTGGGGGGAGGGGATGGGGACGTGGGTGGGGACCAGTGTGACGGTGTTTACTCTGTGCCGTCTGCTTCAAGCAGACAGGGCTTTCTCGTGGGGTGGGGTGGGGGTGCCTGGAGCAGAGCTGCACTCAGGACCTTGCTATCCTGTGACACTGGACGCTGGCCTCTGCCTTATTTGAAAACCTCCCAAAAATGCCTCTTCGCCCCTCTCTAGTTCTCATCTTTGTAGTTGTTTATTTATTTACTTTTAGCACAATTTACTCTCTATTCTTAAAGTTCCAAAGTCTCTTTGGGTCTCCGGAAACCGAAGAGGGGGTGGCGGGAAAGACCAGGGCCCAGCTGTGCGGCTACCGAGAGTCCCGAGGGGTGGAAGGTGGCAGGGCAGTCGGGGCGGCCCCTCCACCAGCTGGGCCTGGGAGGAACGGTCTGTTAGATCGGAGCCTGCAGGCCCCGCGGCCACCCCATCACGTCGCTCCGAAGGGCGCATGGAGGGCCCCTGGGCGCCCCCTGGTGGCAGAGCCCGGGACAGCGGCTACGGTCGGGGCGTGGCCCGCGGGACGGAGGGGAGGAGTCTCAGGGGCCAGTGACCTCCGCAGGTGATGCCCGGATGGGGGGTCCTGGGGGGCCTGGACTCCTGTGGGAGCCCCAAGACCAGGACGGACGGTGTGAAGTGAAGGAAGAGCGAGAGGAGGCAAGGGAGAAATGCAAGAGGAGAGAGAGAGAAGGGGGAAGGGGGACCCCGCTTCTCCGTGTGGCACTTAGAACCGAGCGGAGGTCAGCTGGCCGCGCACGCTGGTGTGTGGGGCAGCGGGCTCCTTTCCCACCCCCAGCCGTTCGGGGTAGAGCCTCGCGATGGGCCTTCCCTCCAGACCCGGACCGGGCTCCAGTTTGGGGGCATCTCTTCCCTCGAGCGCTTGCGTGAAGCCCCCGGCGTCCCCCCTAAGTTGGGGGCACGCCTTTCGCACAGCTACTCACCGGCCCGGCGCCCCGTCGAGACGGTTGTGCCGACAGAGGCTGCAGGATGCGGTCTGGAGAGGAAGCGGGGCCTGGGCCCCCACTCATGCTGGGGTTTCCAGTGAGCTCCTGGCGAGGGCGCCCACAGAGCACCGTCTGGGCCTCTGGGCGCCTTCCCGACAGCCACGGAGCGAGGGCGGAGGGGGCGGGGGGAGGCTGAGCCGGTTCGCTGCCGGCCCGGGGGACGACGGCATCAGCTGCCTTCCCGACAGCCACGGAGCGAGGGCGGAGGGGACGGGCGGGGGGAAGCTGAGCCGGTTCACTGCCGGCCCGGGGGGACGACAGCATCAGCTGGACCAGGACGGGGCGGCTGGGGCGAACCCCTCCACTGTGCGTGTGTGTGGCGGGGAGGCGGCTCCCAGGAGCCCAGCTGTGGGCACCCGCCCCGTCCCCTCGCTCCTCACAGCAGAAACTCGGAGTCCCCCCAAAGTCCCCGTACCCCTTTCCCGGAAACCCCGTCTGACGGGGGCTTGGTGCCGGCTCCCAGTTTGAACCTCTCCGCTCCCATCTGTTTTCAACAAGCTCGACCGCGCCCTCTGACCCGCCACCGCGCAGGACCCGAGCAGGACGGCGCCGGGACACAATGTCCTGCCCGACATGCTTCACCCGGTCACTGTGTCTGGCCTTCTGGGGGTGCGCCGTTGTCCATCCACAGGGGTGTGGAATCAGGCAGATCTATTCTCCAGTCCCTCCTCAGCCACCGATGCTGAGGTTTTACCCGATTACAGGTTCCTCGCTGGAAGTGGAGATAACAGTGACGCTGCAGACTTTAACCTACAAGCTCAGCTTAGCAGGACACACGCGTCACCTTCTCTGTTGCTTTTAGATCAGTCGGATTCCGTCCAGGGCCTGCTGGGATGGCAAACACCCCATTTTCCCAGGCAGAACCCTGAAGGCTAAGGGGAACCCACACAGCAGGGTACGGCTGGCACCCTAGCTGCTCCCTGTGCTTTGGAGCCCCAGCCAGACTGCTCAGTGGACGTCACCATCAATGTCCCACAGTGAGGACACCTGGGAATCCCCAGCTTCCCAGCCGATCAATCACAGACTCAGGCCGGGTATATCTCCTAAGTCACCCTTGACTCACCCCTCCCTCCCCCAGTGCTACCACATGAGTCAGGCCCCATCACCCCTGCCTGGG